TCGCAATTGATCAGGAAATATTTGTTTGCTCCAATTTTCTGCGTCGATGCCGTGGGCCGGTGACCGTTATACAATTTAAAATCAGTTTGCATTGTTTACTATAGCTGTTTACAGTGTTCTAATCATTACGATTTACTTATTTTTTTGCTTCCATTCTAGATAATTATGCTCAGTGATGTAAAATTGAAGCGATGACTGAATGAACGAACCTTGGCTGGCGAAGATGTATCTGGAAGTGTACACATTTGTTGGAAGTGAAAAAAATATTCAATGTAATGACAAAAATTGTAAAATGCTGTGGAATTTCTTTTGCAAATAAAAATATACTAGCAATTTTTTATTAATGGTTTATTCAAGTGGGCAAAATATAATGTACAGAAAGATTGCCCGTAGAGTATCGCTACACTGAAAAGTAAGCAACCGACAGCCTGTATAAAAGGGGGGCTGTGATTGGCTGTTACTTACGCGAGATTTGAACGGGACTTACATAGGCGTCGGATCAGATGTAGGTAGGGCAGAATTAAAAAAAAATCACAAAATCAAAATCAAAGTAAAATAATAAAATAAAAGGGCATTAATAACAAAAGTAATAAAAAATAAAATTAAAATAAGTTTATAGTCCAAATAATTAAAGCCCGTACACTACATCAGATTTTAATCAGATTGTGTCAAGGTCAACTGTATTCAAATTTGTCTTATTTAAAAGTTGGCGGCCTGACAATTTGTGTCAAAATTTAAGGCAGTTTACATTGTTATATTGACCCGTATACGTTGTTAAACTCGAACTAGTGTGCCAATTGGTTATAATATAGAGCTAACAAAATGGCTGCATGCTCCAACTAATTAATATGCATGTATTTTATTGTGATATTTCACTATTGTGACTAGAATTGTGAACTAGTATTGCTGGATTGAAAAAGTACACACAAGTCGCCAACGGAAACATCTTTATGTGAGTCGGCGCCATTGTGCACGTTATACAATGGCCGCCATAAATATGGCCCTTGTAAGAAACCCCAGAAGCGTATTATATCTGTATTATATAATTACCGGACACAACCTTCGACGTCGTAATTACCAGGCACAACTTACGAAGACGTAACTTTTTCTACTGAGAACACGGTATTTGAACAGAAACGAACATTTGAATTTTGCATATATATACGGTACAAAGCATAAAGTTTGTTTTTAAAAAAACATATACGACAAATAGTGGAATTTCTCAGCGAAGTATGAAATATTACAACCCAGTCCGATAAATTCAAAACAACACGACATGTTTAATCGTGAGTCATTTATTAAACAAGTCATAAAACAGACCAAGGCGGCCATCACCCATCTCGGACTTGTGGGCGATTCCATTATATGACAGAGGTGTTTTCTATTTTATTTATTTCTATTTTTAACGTGTTGATCACTTCTAATTTAGGTGGACACATGTGAATCCAAACACAACAATTTGGTGGATATGAGAAATATTTCGCAATATACAGTCGACTCACAAGCAATTTCACCCCACCCAACTTATAATACTAAAAACCTCCACTCGCAAATATATGGTATGACCCAAATGCCACAATCGTAATTATGCCCTCGGCCTCGCAACGCACAAGGTAGCAACTCGAACCCACCAAGAATTATAGCGTCTGAAACCATGCCCAAGTGATGAGAACTACTATGGATGGGAAATTATTCCGCCTCCTCTGGTTTAGTTGTACTGTTTTATGTTCAGCGCTGTTAACAGCTTCGCAAGGTAGGCGACTGAAATATTTTCACGTTGTTCGATATTATTGACCACTTGAGATATACTAGTTTATTGCAGCTCAGTTTGAGACTCTCAGGCGTGTTGTCGTAGTGTGAAGGCTTTGCCGATCAAACTAAATGGCCCGGCTGCTTCAACTCACCCCCTCGGTGTGTAATACATAAGACATGAATGTGTACCAGTCGGCGCTAAATTACGCACATGCCTTTGGACTTTTGCCCTGATACAAATCTATCATATATAAATCGATCTCGTAATCACGACATCGTACAAAAACACGATAAGATGATTGTGTGCGGTGATATAGATGCAACAAGTCGAGATTGAAGGGTCGGGTCATTATAATGACTGGGTAAATTTTTCTCACAAAACGTACAAAATTTGACTAAAAAATATCACACAAGATATAAAATTAGCGCATATACACTTCTGAGAAGAAACCGTGAAAAGGAAAATAATATAATTGGTACAAATTGTCGCTGAATAACTACTAGTACTCGAGGAGTAAAACAAGTCTTGTAGCTCTCCTCAACGATATCTCGGCGGCCATATTTGTGTATCGGTCTTTCCGCCAGGGGAAAGTACAGAACAATATGATAACGGACAACACCGGGGATTTTAATAGGTTCAACACACTCAGTGTGGACGGTGAGGGGGTAATGGTAATTTCATATTCTTCAGATGCAGCACTGCATTACAGTCTTCGTGGGGAATGTGACATTGATTTGAAAAACACAAATCCCCCCCCCCCAGTTAGTGACGCACAATGTGTCCACATTTCTCAACCTCGTACACCCAAAACCAGACATAACACCCCCCCAAAAAAACAAAAAAACGAAAACCGACTAGTTATCACACCATTCTACATGTTCACAGAATTATACCCGTATGGAGTGAGCCATGGTGATGCCCAGTTACCTGTAGAAAATGACGGCACGTCACCGGAAGTGGTACTAACTAATAGTTTTCCGTATTATGGAACTTTTTACAAGTCTTTGTATGTGAGTAAAATATTCATTCCACTGCACTAAATATATATTATTATACATCTGTAACCGTAACGCCATAAGTTACAGCGTGTCGTAATTTTGCAGTATTTTACGGAGTATTTACATCCTACCATATTTTAAATATGGAACGATTACGCGCGTAAGGGTCCTCTAATAATAAAAACAAACATGGCTGCCACCAGGGTTTGACCGGATTCCGAGTCCACACAACGAAGTTCGCTGATTTTGTTTTAATTTTTTTGGATTTCGGTAGTCCCATGATGTTTCATTGGAAGGAAGGAAACGATGTATAATAATAAGGTTATTACGAGAATACCTCAAAGACTGCACTCGGACAGTACGCCGTCGTATCGATACTCCCGCTGCACTGTCTTCAAGTTCATGCATACTTTGAGGTATCCTCGGAATAGTTAACCACATATTATAGCATTTCAATACCGGCGAATTTTATGACGTAATTGCTGCAGAATATTCGCGATAATATATTCCATTCGTTACGTAATAAACCGTTAATTAAAATTCGAGTTAATAATTGTGGACGATCAATAAAATATAAAATGTATGTTGCCCGTACTACGAAGTTCTGCTAAGAACATCAATATCAGCATGATCAGATGTGTAACTCGATGTCCGTAACTCGAACAATTCAGAATCTCACTACGGGTAGTGTCCCAGGTGCAATGAGTAAAGAGCAATATCAATAGACCATTTTAAGCATATTGCGAGATCTCGCGTGATATATAGCAAATGTAAGCGTCATATTCTGTATTCCCTTCTAAAAAAAAGGTACAGATATCTGAGACATCAGCTTCTGTTCGCGTAGCCATATTTTTGTTTAACTTAAAATGTTTCTCAACTCTGTAACCTAGCACAATCCATAGAGGAGAATTCAAAATTGTACATACAAATAAATAGTAACTGAATGGTAAACAACAGAATAGCGGCACGAAAACGAATTTTGTCACGTGATATCCAGCCTACGAAACTGGTTCATGCGAGATCTCGTTGGACGCGGTGTAGGGGGGGGGGGTGATTTCATCGTGTAAACGTTTGATAGCTTATCAGAACGCCGGGAACCAGGGACACCAGCGAATAAATTGCGCGAGCAAGAAATCAAACCGCCATTATCGCACGAATTCCGACTGATGACGCTAAAACTTGAAACTCGAAAGTTATTTAATATTGTATTCATTTTCTTTTCAATGTTATGACTATCTTTAGATAAACACAAATGGTGTAATTTCATTTGACAATTCACTGAGAGAATATGATGAGACAAGACCGAAAATACCAATCCGTAACGATGACGTAAGTAAATGCCTTGTGAATATGAATAACAATAATAACAACACTACGTATTTCCCATAATCTGGTTCAGTATCTTATTCGTATTTTATTTTTGAATCATAGAAATTTATATTTAATAGAACACGTTTTCATTTAAAACAGCAAAAGTAAAGAATGATTACGTTCACTGTACCTTTTTACAATTTCTATTATAATAATAGACTTAACGCAAATGGCCGTCAAAATCTCGTTGAGATTGAGAGACCCGCGAGATTTGTTTTTTTCTCTCTCAAGTAGTGTTTCATTCTCCCCCGTCATTCCATCCACTGTTTCAGTGTACTTGGAACAGTCGTGGATATTGCAAGTCTCGTGGCTGTCTCGCTCACAACGAGATCTCGGCTTCTATTTGCGTCTACAGTCTATGGCGTTCTAATTACTCAGGCTGATTTTACATGTCACATGCATTTCAGGAGGATGGTATTAAGTATACACTCATCGCACCCTTCTGGGCCGATGTGGACCTTAACGTCGGTGGCTATGTTCACTACAGACAAGTTAGTGACACGGTCATGTTAGAAGAAATCACTGATGACGTAAGAAGACATTTCATTGCGGAAAGAGATTTCATGGCGAAATGGGCTCTGATCGCTACATGGGACCGAGTCAAGTATCACGGTTCGACTTCTAGTGAAGTAAGTAACCATGGTAATACGCGCATCTGTCAATTCCCGTTAGTTTAAATTGTTCGGAGTCTGGTGACACTTTAAGTTACTCCATTGTAAATATTGTTATCTGCCGTATTGTCTTAGATTATGAGCTTTGTGATGATTACTTGATTCATTCAAGTTATTGTCTACTCACGGCGTTTTATAATGTGTGGTGCCTCATATTAACGCATGCGCATGTGTGTCATTTTTATACAGGAAAATACTTTTCAAGTTGTCATGACAACCGATGGTCGATTCTCTTTCATAAGTTTTATTTATGAGCGACTGGAATGGGCTGGTAATGATGCAACAGAATCGCTTCTTGCTGCGCAGGTAATACCTTGAACGCGTGATGGCGATCTAACTTCAAACATGAAGAGTGCCACCGCACGTAGGTTATCATTGGGACGTTGTTATAGCACAGCGTCATCGCCCATGTGCATGTATTTCTCTCCGCCGAATTTTATGTCTATTACAGTCAATATTTCCTGGATCTTTCCTGGACCCGGCAATAATATCACTAGATATACACGGAATATATTAACTCGGTTACTCATTATGTTATAATAAGTAAATTGAGTCATTTGGGTCAATAATTTGAAGATAAAAAATACCGACTCTATGTATCATACTAAAAACATGTTCATTTCATGTATCCACGATCTTAACTACGCAGTATAACACTGTTGGTGAATATTGCTGTTTATGACGTCACATTTCAGTCTGACAGACGTTTATACACTATTTTCAGGCTGGCTTTAATGCTGGGGATTATGTGAACTTTTATTTATTGCCAAATAATCAACACTATACCATAGTGAATTTAGCTTCGAGTAGTAACGTGGACAGTGATGGTGTGTGGATGTACAGGGTTGATACAACTATTGACAATGTGCCGTGTGCAACAGGTAAGGTGTTCATCCGTCCAAAGATTCATTACGCGAAAAGTATATTTTTTGGCGATCCGTTCCGCTAGGATTTTTAATTTTAATTTTACTGTATTGAAACGCACATTCAGTGCTACCAGTAACCTTAATCGTTATTTACATTCGTTGATTAAAATAAATAAAAAAACCGCTATAGAAGTCTCTTGTCTGTGTGTCTGTTCAAACTTGATAGGCTGGTCACATCTGTACTGTGGATTGTTAATCTGCCTACCGGCTTGTATATTCACTTATTTGCTTATTGCACCGTGTTGTGACGGTGGCGTGCACTTGCACTTCGCGTAAACATTTAATACAAGTTTTACACGCGTAGTATACGTCACATGCGCCCCACATTGACGCGGTGATACGACTGTGGCGCTGTATCCGTATTATCAACTATATACTAGTATGTCATTGTAATATATATGTCAAATTGAATACGACTGTTGTATCCTATGTAGGTTTATGTATATACCCATCTCTTGGAACCATGCTTGGTGGTAATGTAGTTTCAATCAGCGGGCTTGCCTTTGATAGCAGTGACGTCATCATATGCAAATTTGGAGACTATCGACCAATGAACGGTACCTTTATCAGCAGCGACGAAATACGGTGTACTACTCCTTCGTTTTTCGGAGTTGGTGTGATGCTCGTATCTGTATCGCGAGACGGTGGTTTGACTTATGAACCCACTGAAGCAGAAAACCAAGGAAGGTTTTACGTCCGTAAGTTTCAATTCGGATTTTCTACAATTATCTCGTGCCCTCTTGCGATGAAACACGTCTGTGATGTGAATGGTATAAGGAACACTGCTTACAACGTCGATATTTTGATCGGTTGTCGACCGAAAGATAAAAAACACTGTGTTTTAAAATTTAGCTTGATCACATATGACGATCGACTACAGCACCAAGCAAATTTTCTCTTTCGGCGGAATTGCTTACGTCATCTCAACGTCATAGTATTGCTTTGTCGATAGAGGGCGCGGTATTTTGGATTAGTGTATTGGATGAATCTCAACTTCAAATATTTGAAAATAAATGACATACACATAACATGCGATATGCGGGGGTTACTATACCCATGTGCGTTCGGTACAAAATCCCGCACTTTTATCTTTTGCAATGTCCATCGTCAGTGACAGATACACATAATACAAACACGTACGAATACAACTTGCTGCTGTGAAAAAGTCTGTGTTAGACAATAATTCATATACACATAACGCCTGCTACTGAATTATGTGCAAATTGACCAATCACGTGAAAAATCATATATAGGAATTATATTAATTATAACACTTATAATTTCACACGCCTTGCAGAAAATTACGATCGTGTAGAAGACGATCACGTGACACGTGTAGATAGCGGTTCGGACGACTGGAGGTTTGCCGGCAGACAGCTCACACTGGAATGGGACTACGAGGAGATCCCGGACGACAAGGTTGCAGTGGAGGTATTCGTGTACCAGGAGCACGGCGCAGAGGGACCCCGGTGGGAGTGGGTATATACCATCGACCCGAGTACTCCAAACGACGGCAGACTCACGTTCATACCGACGCCCGTGGCCGCGGTGTCTGACGGGACTGACTATGGCTCGATACGTATCATCGGAGAAAATAACCCGTGAGTAATTGCACATTACGTCATTATTAGTTAGATAAGTTTCCATATGATGTTAATTTTTAGCATTTTTGAAAAAAAATATTAATTTAAAACGATTAATAACTGCAGCTACAGCGTATGTGACGATTTGTCTTCGTGATGTTTATCCCTGATTATTGCGCCGAGACGATTACTTGTCACATCAGGCAGACGACTTGAAATATTCATGTACGTTGGGCGTGATTTTAATTGATCACTTTTTGTTTTAAGGTAGCGGGACTATTATTTGCATACTTGTTTTCATCTTCTAATTGTGACTAAATGACTACAAATAGACCCGGGAAAGTATATATTTTTAGAATCGCCAGACTTCAAGCTTTTCACAAGTGTATTTTGCATGCCCGTATCTGCATTCTACGAGGCGTTACTCAATCAAAGGTGAAAAAATACTTTTTCTGTAAAAAAAATAATTACGCATTTATGCTGGCGTTTTAAAAAATAGTGTGGGAATTTCAATTACTGTTTTAGTCGCATTGCCCCCA